AAAGTTTTTGATTTGAATTCACAGTTCATGGAAAAAGATGCAGTTTTATATCCGTTTTTTTTCAATCATACTTCTGGCTTCTACCTAGAAAATTCAAAGTACAGCAGAGAATATTAAAAATAGACAGAAACACACACACATACATACATGTATACATACATAAGAAACTAATTCAACAAAAAACAGATGGAGCAAAAGGCTTTTCATGCCTTTGAATCAGTGAATTATAAAGGTGGGAGTGGTATTTTGTGTTAAAACGATGGTAAATTAAAGTAAATTAATTATGTCAGCGAGGCAAATTAAAAAGATGGCCAAAGTCAATTTCATGGCCTCTAACAGTCGACTGCTAGTGGAGACAGATGGGGAGCAGCGGAAAGACGAAGACCTCTGAATTCTGGGCAGCTCCCTTGATCTGTCAGATGATAGAGACAATCGTTTCCAACAGCGCTGTAGATCTGTTTAGTCTAATTACTGAACACAGTTTGTATTGTCCTCGCTCCCTGTTTAAATGTTCATTTGTGAAATGCAAAAATTAAGACATCAAATTTAATGCAAGATGTATAATTCTTTTTATTCTTTTGATTCAGGAAGAAACCAATAGGTCTGTGTGTGGATAAAGCTTACTTTATATACATTTATGGATTTGTCTGTAAAGATGCTGACGCACTCATTAAATGGGAGTTGAAATAATAAATTGAATAAACTAAAGCTCAGTTTACAAGTAAACAATCACCTGGAAATGTTCTACATTGTCTGATTTTGATTTAAAAAACTTCACATTTGCATTAATGCTGTGATCACCACTGATGTTTAGACGAGACCAACAACGATTTTGAACCTGATATATAGGTGCTGGTCATAAAAGTAGAATATCATGAAAAAGTTGATTTATTTCAGTAATCCCATTCAAAAAGTGAAACTTGTATATTATATTCATTCATTAGACACAGACTGACATATTTCAAATGTTTATTTCTTTTAATGTTGATGATTGTAACTGACGACTAATGAAAACCCCATATTCAACATCTCAGAAAATTAGAATATTGTGAAAAGGTTCAATATTGAAGACACCTGGTGCCACACTCTAATCAGCTAATTAACTCAAAACACTTGCAAAGGCCTTTAAATGGTCTCAGTCTAGTTCTGTAAGCTACACAATCATGGGGAAGACTGCTGACTTGACATTTTGTCCAAAAGACGACCATTGACACCTTGCACAAGGAGGGCAACACACAAAAGGTCATTGCTAAAGAAGCTGGCTGTTCACAGAGCTCTGTGTCCAAGCACAATAATAGAGAGGCAAAGGGAAGGAAACAATGTGGTAGAAAAAAAAAGTGTACAAGCATTAGGGATAACCACACCCTGGAGAGTACTGTGAAACAAAACCAATTTCAAAATGTGGGGGGAGATCCACAAAGAGTGGACTGCATCTGAAGCCAGTGCTTCAAGAACCACCCCACACAGACGTATGCAAGACATGGGTTTCAGCTGTCGCATTCCTTGCGTCAAGTCACTCTTGAACAAAAGAGTGTCAGAAATGTCTCGCCTGGGCTAAAGACAAGAAGGACAGGACTGCTGCTGAGTGGTCCAAAGTTAAGTTTTCTGATGAAAATAAATTTTGCATTTCCTTTGGAAATCAAGGTCCCGGAGTCTGGAGGAAGAGAGGAGAGGCACGGAATCTACGTTGCTTGAGGTCCAGTGTTAAGTTTTCACAGTCAGTGATGGTTTGGGGTGCCATGTCATCTGCTGGTGTTGGTCCACTGTGTTTTCTGAGGTCCAAGGACAACACAGCCATCTACCAGGAAGTTTTAGAGCACTTCAAGCTGCTGACCAACTTTATGGAGATGCAGATTTCATTTTCCAACATGACTTGGTACCTGCACACAGTACCAAAGCTACCAGTACCTGGTTTAAGGACAATGGTATCCCTGTTCTTAATTGACCAGCAAACTCGCCTGACCTTAACCTCATAGAAAATCTACGGGATGTTGTGAAGAGGAAGATGTGATGCACCAGACCCAACTATTCAGAAGAGCTGAGGCCACTATCAGAGCAACCTGTGCTCTCATAACACCTGAGCAGTGACACAGACTGATCGACTCCATGCCACGCCGCATTGCTGCAGTAATCCAGGCAAAAGGACCCAACAACTAAGTATTGAGTGCTGGACATATTCATACTTTTCATGCTCATACTTTTCAGTTGGCCAACATTTCTAAAAATCCTTTTTTTTTATTTGTCTTAATATTCTAATTTTCTGAGATACTAAATTTGGGGTTTTCATTAGTGGTCAGTTATGTCAGTTATAATCATAAACATTAAAATAAATAAACATTTGAAAAGTATGAATATAATATACAAGTTTCACTTTTAGAATGGAATTACTGAAATAAATCAACTTTTTCATGATACAGTATTCTAATTTTATAATCAGCACCTGTAGTTTCCATGGCCAGTACCTGGTACTGTGATTTTTTTTTTCCCCCAGCAACATGTACAAGACACGTCAATCTTTAGCATAAGAACAGTGACATCCAAAACACTACAGTAAATACACAAGTTGGTTTGGACTGACAATGACGTTGTCATGGCGACACATTCCTCTAAATCTAAAATCTAGTGATGTAGGAAAATTTAGACTAATTTGACTGTTTTAACAAGCTGCTTTCAGGTGAATTGTGTTTTTCTATGAAAAAATACCAGGAGTGTCTGAAAATTAACTGAGATGTGAGTTTAAAAAAAATGTTTGTCATTAAGATGAACAGCCGAAGCGCTACAGCATTGTTCACATTTTACTTTAAAACCGTGTCGTGTAAACGTCTCAGACTTCGCAGTGAGGGGACTAAGAATGGTACATATAAAAAAGGCAATTAAAACGACGCAAACTCTTTACTTTTCTCGTTTTTATTTTTTTTTATGAGAAGTGTAAACCTAATATTGTTTTAAAAGGTCACACAACCTGTGACACTACACACTTTGATGGCACATAAATCATTTACATGCTTTTAATAATACATCAAATAATGTTTTAGTTTGTCAGTCAAACTTTTAATTAAATTGGCCTAATTTTTCTAAATCCTTTCACATTTCAAGATATCCAAAAATTAATTAAAATCTGTTATCAGTCTTTATTGCATGCTATTAAAAACACCTTAAAAGCAGCTGCCATGTTTCAGGTGATGGTCAGTAGTCCCTCGCTACTTCGCAGTTCGTTTATCGCGGGTTCGCTATATTGCGGATTTTCAAAATAAGATTGGACATGACACAATTGGCTGATTGATAGATGAGCCATGGGTTGTTTATTTAAGATACATTATTTTAAATGATTTTGCACCATGTGAGAAGCCCACAAGTGCAAGAGAAAGCTCCGTCCTGCAGCAGATCAGCTGATTTCCTTCTCTGCCACACACATTTCTCCTGCTGCAGCGTTGTGAAGGTTAACCCTTTGCAGTCCAGATTGACTTTTGTCTTCCAACTTAAAATGCAAAGTATGTCA